CTGGCCGCGAGGTGAGCTGGAGCCGGGCCCAGCTTTGTGCCTGTCCTCCGGTCAGCTGCGCAGTGGCTCTTTCTCGTCAGGCTGCTCGGGGTGCCGAGGGCCAGCCACATCCTCGGTGCTGTTGAAGGAGAGCTAAGCCAGGGTAGGTTTTTTCTGTAGAGGGTCTTCCTAGCTACTTGTCTCTATGAGTTTTAAAACGCTGGAGGAGCCGATAGCCAGTTGTATGCTTTCCTGCGGTCCAGCGAGCAGAGCCATGAGATCCTGTGAGTTCTTACCCACTCTTGGACCTGCTGAGTTGCTTTTCTTGCCCTTCTGCCTGTGTGCCCCGTGGGCTCCCGTTGCCTTTGGTATATGGTGAGCCAAAGCAGGGAGGTTCCAGTAGAGCGCGAGAAATGGTGCCGGGAGGGAGCTGCGTTTTGCTTGTGATAAGTGTGTGAGATCTCTTTGTTTCTCTATTCTCTGGACTCTCTTTGCAGTAAATTGCAGGTAACCGGAGTACAAGGCAATTGCAATCTACGAAACCAGAAATGCACAACTGAAGGGTTAGAAAAGAGTTTTTGTAGGGGCTTCGCTGAATTCCTGGTGCTATGATTATTTTTGTAGGCTTATTAGCTATGTGAAAGTCCTAGACTGACAAACTGGGATGTACTTATATGTTTGAAAGTTAGGTTTTCATATTTTCATGTTTTCTTTACATTTTAGGCCACATCTAGACTCCTGGTGAACTACCAAGAACCTTATCGCTCCCAGATTTTAGATTATCTGTTCAAGGTAAAGTCGTTTTCACTGCTACGATAATGTCTGATTTCGTGCAGAATTTCTTATTGTGCGACGTTGGAACTGCTATAGTATATGCAGTACTACTTGAACTTAGACAAAATCCCATCTTGTAAAGCATCTACTTTAATATTGATTTTTGTCAGAACCTTAAATTTTAGCTGTTGTTTTTGACAACCAGCATGTTGTTCGGGAGCCTATTTCTTCAAATTATTAAGAAAATTCCTTTTATGTTTTCACAATATGTTTTAAAAAATGTTTTCAACATACTTTGATCATCCATGTGGACTTAATGAGGATTAAATCGTTCTTGTGGTTAAAATGAGGGGTTTAGCTGTTCATAGCGATTGCAGGAAGTGGGTCTTTGAGACAGTTTTGATTTTTTTTGAGTACAGATAGATTCACATAATGTGAAAACGACTGTGCAGACTGCATCGTTTCAATAGTATATCTATTCCAAACTAGTCTCAAGTATAAGTGCAGTTACTCTAGAAGGTGTGTGAACATTACTGATTTGTAAGCTGTATTAGTTAGCAAGCGTAACCTGTGGAGTTTCCCAGCTTAATATATGGTAAGAGTATTGTACTGGACAGTAATAACTTGTTTTGCTTTTGGCACTGTAAATTACTCTGGTGGAAGAGGATGTCATGTCACTTTCAAGCAGTGTAATCCAGATGGCTGGAGGGGAAAAATTTACTGTGTAGTTTAAAGAATTGGTTTTAAAGGGTAGAGTAGGGCATAATGCGTGACTGGGGGATCAAAACCTATGTTTTTGGAGACCGAAGCTGTGTGTTACAAATATGAGTTTTCTGAAGGAATCAATAGGCATGTGGTAAAAGAAAATCTAGCTGAGAGATCATGATTTTCAAAGAATATTTGACGTTCTTTCACCAAAACCTCTTAAGCTGTCATGAGATACCTGGGAGGGGTATACCTTGCCTCATTCTCCTTGTCTTTTAATGTCAGTCAACTTTCATGATGGGGATAAGAGAGCAAATGTGTTATAAATTTAAAATCAGAAATGTCAGGAAGAGAGATGGTAAATTGGGAATATTTGTTTCTTATTTAAAAACACATAAAAAAATCCGAAACTTGTAAGCCAAGCAAACTATCGTCTATGCAGCATATTTTTTTAATCAAACTGCATTCTCACATCTTAAAACTTTTTTTAGATGCCAAAATTATACTTGGGTAATTCCATGGAGGAGGCCAGCTTATTAGTGGTTATTAAAATAATGATTAGTTGTAACTTCTGGCTTGAGCAACTCTTAAGCCACTAATGGCTGGAAGAACATACTAGGAGTAGGATCACCTGTACGAGCTTGAATTTTATATTCTGCTTCCACCAGTCAGATGCCAGGGGAAGAAGATAGTGGACTAGGTGGCTGTTTGTTTTCCAGTGTGGTGTTTTTTTTCTCTCTTGCCTTTCCGCCTGTAGTTAGCAGGTTATTTCTGACCTGTATGTATGCTCTTTCACATAAGCCGTGTAACCCTTTACAGCAAAGAATAAATTATTTTCAGAAATATTAACTTCAATAATTTGATTTAAAAAAAACAAACTTGACTTCTAATAACATTAAAAATACTGTTGTGTTCCTCATATAGCCCATGTTCTACTTTGAGTGCTTCAGTATTTTCTTGAGCATAAGCAATTTAAAATCTGCACAGCTGATTAACACAAGTTAATGGTGCAAGAGTCAGTCAAACTGACTAAAGATAAGTGTACTATTTATCTTGCTCAATTTTCTTTTGAAGCAGAATTTTGTAGAACCTCATTGCATCTATAAAGGGTGTTTAAAAAAAAAAGTATTGAGTTTTTAGCATCCTCAAAATTGTACATTTATTTATTGCATTCTTCTTGTTATCAGCAGGTTTCTGTTTGTTTTTCTGTCTCTCTTTTTTTCTAGCCAAATTTCGGTGCTTCTTTACATATCCTCAAAGTGGAGATTGGAGGTGATGGACAATCAACAGGTATGAATTTTGCGGGAGCAGGGTTTAACTTCTTGTTGTAGTGAATGTGTCCTGCACGTGTCACTTTAGCTGAAGCATGGAGATGCATTCTGTAGCTATACTGAAGTTGCAGAAAAATGTAAACAATGTCTGCTAATTTGTAGAAGAGGAAATTTACACTGACATTCTGGAGATGGTTCTCACTATCATATGGTTAATAGGTTGCATTCTAGAGCAAAGGAGTTCTCCCCCCCCCCAAGATTAAGGAAACTCTAGTAGCTTTCTGAATTGCAGAGCATTTCTCAAACACCAGTTTTGCAATACAAACTGTAAAAATTGTGTAGGACTAGGTAGTTTATGTATTAAAAGCATGAAAATGTGAAGGCAGCTGGTCAGGAGCAATTATGTTTCTTTGGTTTAATGAGCTGCTACATTTCACTGCAGTGGCGTTGTCTGACAGTAGGCACTATTTTTTTTTTTTTTTTGCCTGGCCACAATTGCAAATTAAAATGTCTTGGTGTAATTTGCCTAGCCTACTATATTTACATATAGGAGAAACTGCTTAGTAACTGCTTGTGATCAGAAGCTGAGAAGCAGTAACTAGACTACAGTTTGTATCTTTTTTTTTTTTTTTCCTTCTTTCCCTCAGAAGTAAATCTTGGCTACGTCAAGAATAGACTTAAAGCAGACTCAGTTAATAAATAGAAAGCATGGCATCTGTCTTTGTAGCATTTTATATATATATTTTTTAAATGTCTGTGTTTGTAATTAGATATTGTTTTTCATTCTTTGGTTTACTTTCCTTAAGAAAAATTAACATGGTGAAAAGCATTATACTGGGTTTAAAAGCTTGGTATTTGGTCAATAAATTGCTGGTTAGAGGAGAATGGAGTCGTCTTCATGCATGCACAGACATTCTCTTCAAACACTCTTGCTGCTGGCTAAGGAGAATGTTACATACTTGTGTGATGGCTTTCCAGATTTTAGGAGGAGAACAATAAGATGCATATGTCTTAACATACTAGGCTGCAGCTCTTATTCTGACCTCAGAGGTGTGATCAGGAGTCTGTTTGAAGTGTGATTAGGAGTCTAAGTTTGGAATCTAATTGTTGATCTATGTCTCTGACAAATAGAACTTCCAAATAGTCAAGTGTTAGTAAGGTAAAAAAAATTAATCCTATTTTCTGTAATGAAATGTGCTGTTTCAGCAGGCTTCATTTAAAAAAAAAAAAAATCATGGAAGAGATCTCTGAAACAATTAGGCATATAGTTTAGCATAAGTAATTGTTGCAGTTGCATGCACAAGTTATTAATTGACTTTTGTGTGTAATGACTTCCCATGCAACACTGATTCTTTTGCACCTTTCTAGTTTGTTTACCTTTGCCCGAGGGAATTCAGTGCATAGCCTTCAATTCCAAAAGCTCTTCCTGCAGTCACAGAACACCATGGAGATTATAAACTAGATCTTTTACTATAAAAATAAAAAAATCTCTTTCCTGTCACTGAAAACCTTCATAGCAGTTCCTTTCTTTTCTCTCCCTGGACTTGCCTTGCACAGAAGAAACAAACTATAACCTTCTTTTGTTTGCTTTTTAGTTTAGCTTCTACAAAATTTTTTTTTTTTTTCTTCCCTCCTGATCTTAATGCTGTAACTTTCCTAGTGGTTGTTGGGACCAAAATAATCATGAATATAGATTTAGTATTATCATAGCTAGTGATAGAAAATGCCCAACAGTTAATCACATTCTGATGTTAAAAGCAAGCGTAGTCCCTTGAAAATGAAATATATTAAAATTATGCTAAGTTAATATGCTAAGAATGAAGGTTGGCGAGTTTTGCATGTTCCCTCCCACTACTCATTTTGCTTTGAAATACATACCAGAGGATGTGTGAACCATGTTGGAGATATGTGCTTGGATACTGTGGCAATGAGCAATACAGAAAACTTTATAATGTGTAACAGCTTATGACACAGAAGATAATTGTGAGCTACCTGTCTCTTTCCTTCCTAGATGGCACTGAGCCCTCCCATATGCACTATGAAAATGATGAGAACTACTTCCGGGGCTATGAATGGTGGCTGATGAAAGAAGCTAAAAAGAGGAACCCCAAAATTAAACTGATTGGTAAATTGCTTCAAGCTTTAGGATTTAAATGCTTTTTTCCCCCTAACTAAATTACATATCTGACCCTTAATTAGCATATTAATTTTAATGGGCGGATGTTTTGATGTTGCAGTAGACAAAGTAGAATCTCTAATATTTAGTAAGCTTGCCTTGATGCTTCACTTAAACTTACTGTGTTTTACTTTGTTACATAGCACAACATCCTTATGTTGTGCTACTGTAACAAGTAGCATAACAAGAATGTACGTAACAAGTAGCATAGGATAAGAAATGACTAATCATTTGCTTGTATCAAGTAACAATGCTTAGACTGTATCACAGCAATGAACATAAATGATTTATCACGAGAGCTGAAATTTCTGAATAATAGAGTAAAAAAAACTGGGAGGGATAAAGTAAACTTACAGGAAGTATAAATCTGTAAATCTTATATGCACTAAATTCAATTATATGTTCTTGTTACAAACCCATCACCCCCTCCCCACTATAGTGGTTCTTGTCTTCTGATTTATCTTATGTATGTAGTTGAGTTGTAAGAGGACTTTCCTGCCTCCCTGTTTTGATCGTGGGTTGTGTGTGTGCTGTAACAGTACAAATGTGGAACCCTAGATTCTAATTGAAACACTTTACAAAATATATTTCACATGAAACAAAGTAAGATATCTATCAATTAAAAAGTATCTAATCCTCCCTCTTCCAGGGATCAGGCTTTGTCATATCCATTCACAAGGCATGACTTAGTGCAGGATGTGCTAGTCAGGTTCTGTTAGACAGGCACTGTGGCAAGCGGTAAGCTTACCTTCTATGACTAATTGTGATTATTAATAATCTCCCTCTTCCCTCAGATCAGTCTCTCAACAAAGGAAGGAGGGTTTGCCTTTGAATTAGCCTATGGTGTCTTACACAAAGTCAGCTGAAAACTTAGCAGGATCTGCTTAGGTTAATTTGTGGTTCTTGTTTACTACAAAATCCAGTAAACGGCTGAGACTCAGAAATGCTTTTTCATGATCCTAATCTTTCTTCCTCTATTATGATCAGATCATCACTTCTTCTGAAATTCATATTCAGGAGATTAACAATTTTTGGTGTTCAGTATAGATCCTTAGTCTATAACTTTGTAAATTTTTATCCTAAATTCGTTGGAATTTTAAACCTGTTGGAGCTAATACCACACAATTGAAAGATTGTATGTAGTCAGTTGTTCTCTAGTAATGAAGGTTTTCTAGCTTAGGGAAAAAAAAAAGCAGCTATTAATGTCTTTGATCACAATTTATATTAGAGCATACTCTCCGGTTAAATAAGCTATATTTCATTCTCTTCACTGGAACTATGTGAATTTTGAAGTGCGTATCTGCTCCTTCTTTTTACGTAGAACAAATTACAGCTTGCTATTGAAGCTTACTGAGTAATGTAGACCGACCACTTATCTTATTCATTTGTTTTTCTTCTCTCTTTCTAGGATTACCTTGGACATTTCCGGCATGGATAGGGAAGGGTGAAAACTGGCCCTATGACTACCCAGATGTCACTGCTTACTATGTTGTTTCTTGGATATTAGGAGCTAAACAGTATCATGATTTGGACATTGATTATATTGGGGTCAGTAAAGCAAAATCTCCTGTATATTTTATCTATCTTCATTCCTAAGATCTTGGTCTTGTCTCTGTTTGTTGATTACTGGAGGAGGGGGATGGGAAGAGAAATTGTTCTGTAATTGCAGTTTTTGCTTTTTCTGTTGCAAGGGGAAAGGCAGAAGTTACGTTAGTTTACTGTCTTTCTGCAAAAATGGCCATTAAAGCAGAACTGGTGTAAAATGGCTAGTCTCCTGCCTTCCCAATTCTAGAACAAAGTTACCAGAGAATTTGAGAATTCTGAGATCTGTTTGAGTCTTGGGCTTGTCATTTTCTGCCTTGCTTGTTCTGCTTGGGTTTCAGCAGTTACCAGCTAACAAAAAGCATTAGTTAAGACAGAGTTTGTGAAAGTCAGCTAATATGACTTCTTGGCATAAAATATGGTCACTGTTTTGTGGAAGGGCAATCGTCTACAACTTCTTCCATTTTTATCTGCATTATTTATAGTAGATAAAGGTGCATGTGTTACAGTACATTGTAACTACTGTATTGTGTTACAGTGCAATACGTGGAAGTAGTGAACGAATGTCTGAGAAAAATATCATAATTTGGAGATGAGAGAGAGAAGCAGGCAATCTGGAAAAACACTTTTCAAGTTCATTATTTGACTGAGATTCAACTTTTTATTTTTTCTTCTGATTAAGAAAATCTGTGGCTAGGATTCCTCTAAAATCAGTCCTATACTTACTGAAACACTTATTTTGGACTTTTAAGTGTTTTGATATGAGACAGTTGTTTAACTGCAAAAAAGCTGAAAATCACTTCAGCAGTCCAGAGTAAAGCTTCTGAAACTATGGTTCGCATCCCTCAGAGGAAGTCTGACCTTTCTGCTGTAATGTGGGAAGGTATATCTAATGTGTATCTCCTCTGGAATGCATCCCCCTTGATGTTGCTGACTTACTTCAGCTGTGTCAGTCTTGCACTTTGAGTAAGACAGTGATGCTTCAGCAAACCAGTTGGGGGGACAGGGATAACAATTGTTGTTAAATTTTCTCCTTGCTATGCTCTTAGAGTAGAAGGTTAAGTTCTGCACTTCATGTATTTGAGTAATGTCTGGCTTCTGTGTTGTTACTTCACAGTGATTGGCCTTCTGAATTCTATACTTCTAAGAAAAGGGAATTTCTGCTTCTACAGGCAGTGTGGTGACATTGCGTATTGTCTGATTTCTTTGTGGGTATAATCTGAAATACAGGAAAGCAGTGAGGTCTGTGAAGGCTCAGAAACTGTCAAAAGAATTTTAATGCTGTTCTGATTCTACATTGTTAGCCTTTACTGCTCTTCTGGTTTATAGCATGTGTTATATATCATTATTTGTTTTATGATGAAATGAGCCTTTCAGTAAGTAACTGTTTGATTGGCTCATTTCTGAAGTCACATATTAGCGCTTATGGAAAGATCTAGAAATATCAAAATCAAATGGATTTATCCCACCTGCAAGAAACTGTCTGCTTGTACATGGTTGGGTAATCTATACCTACAGGGGATACTTCCACCTTTACTGGTGAATGTGAGTCACAGCGTTCATGTTGTGGTTAGAAAAAAAGAAAGTTAGAAGGTTTCTGACTATGCATTTTATCGGCCAGGGTATTTGGTAGAAAGGAAGACCAGCGTTCCCGCTTTTGAATT